AGGCAAAGTTATTTTTGGTATGTTTTAAGAATACAGCAAAATTTATGCCACAGTTACTTTTAACATGTTATTTAATCAAAAGTAATATGGCTGTACTATCTCTAAATCTGTATTGTATATTATAAGTGCAGCCAAAGTAAAAAGAGGATTTCGTGTGCAAAATGTGTAATCTGTTTGTGATGCAATTTTGCTCTTTATTTAAGAGCTTAATTTATTATCTGTTGTATCAAGTATTATTTAATCTGTCTTATATAACGAAGTTATGTACTATATAATCCAGTTATGTTTATTTAAAACAATTACATTGTTCAGAATCTATGTTGAATTGCAAGAATAATGTTCAGTGTAATATTTGCAAAGTATAGTGTATTAAGTGTAGCATTGGTTGTAATTTGCCTTAAGTCAGTGCAATGATCAACGCAATGCATATTATGAAATGTATATTGTAGCGAGTATGTGTAGCAATGTGTTAACATGCGATTGTAGCCAGGAAAATGTTTAATTTCGCATGCAGAAAAATCTATATTTGCCCTGTATGGCCATGTACTTGCCTTGTATGGTTTTCGGAGTGTAGCTTCAGATAGTTGCGGGTTCCGGACGATACCCGACTAGTCTATGTAAGCCGTCCGGGTGTCCGGACCTGCTCTCACCTGTCACCTGTCACTGCTTTCACTGTCGGCTGGTGTTATAAGGATCCCTCCAGTTCTTCATTGGTCATTTCTCGATTAACTCTTTGACTTCTCCTTCCATATTTGAAAGTCCTTCGCCATCTATAGTTTTTGAGGTTTACACTATTTCTTTCGCATCACTTTCAATCAGCGGAAACAAAAATGATGATAATTTTTGGTAATTAATTAATGTAAACAATTAAAATAACGCGCATATGCGAAATCGCGTTCCTTAAATCCAAGTATTGTAAGGTCTGTAAGACAAAGAAGTAACCTTAGATTAGGGGGGGAAGGGTACATTTTAAATAAAACTTTATCAGTTTTCAGAGAAATCTAACACATGACTCTCTTTTCCGGAAAGAAAATATTATTGCAAAGGCTGGAGAATAATCAGAATGAATGAAGTTGGCATAAAGCAAAACAGTTACGTTTTAAAACAAATGTATCGCCATCTATTGCACAAAATAGGAATGAAACGTAAAACCCACGAGTGTTTTATTATGAAATCTTTGGGAGCTAATTAGCTAAAGAAATTTAATTTTTGTGAACGTGATTTACGAAAGGCTTCAAGGAAATCCAATTCACCAAGTGAAGACTTGTGAATAATTTTTGCAAGAATTAAAATTGCCATAAGTGTTCAATTATGAACAGCTTTCGAAGACTTGTTTATTTGTTCCTTTCGAACATAGGATTCATATCCCTTGATAAAAAGTTTAATGCTTTTTAGCACTATACACTTAACTCCACTGTCAAGCAGCTGTAAAGTCTCTAAGCATTGAAATCAGTGATGGGATCTTGAAGAAATAAACAACGAATCAATTGATAGCGTAGAAAATGATCTCAAAATAGAACTTAAGGAGAATCTGATCAGTTTTGGAACTAATAGGAATCTAAAATGGGATTACAAAAAGGTGCTGAATTTAAATGCAAGAATATAAATAAATGAATTCTAAAACTACAGAAAAATGATTTGATGAGATTTGGACCTAAGAAATTAAATGATTATAGAGATAATCAATCACATTTTAGCGGCTCAGATATCAAATTTTCCATCAAGTTTCAAATTATTCAAAATATCTACTGTAGAAGAATTTTCACAAGCTAATTTATGTATAGGACGAGAAATAGGATTCTGCTGCAAAAAATCAGCCAAAATTAAAATTCCAAGAATAAGCCAAAATAAAAATCTCTCAGTAAATCCAGTTACAAAAATTACCAAAAGTGTAAATAATTGGTCGTGTAACGTAAACAGACTTATCAGACGAATTGAAAATTTAAATTCATTATCAGATTCAGTTCGGAAACTAAGACTGAGAACGCTATATAATGAAAAGGCAATTTCGGCGTCATTAATTTCTCTTTTTTAATTCTCCCAGTTTTAATGCATGCATATCATTTAGCACTTCAGCAATAGTGAGACGAATTTTCTTTGGTTTTTCATTTGTGGTAGCCATTTTCGAGTAATCACAAGATTATTTCGCCCCCAAACGCGTTCTCGCTTTTATGATTGAAATATTATTATTCGTTTCTGCTATGCAGAGAAATATGAACAAGGAATGCATATTCTGCTCGCTTTAAACTAAAAATTATTATTCTTGCCGATCGTTGCTATGGGTGGAACCGAAGATGATATTATGATGATTTTAATAATGAAGCGAAGGACAATGACATTCATCTGGACTTGCTTCTAACAGCAGAGCCTTCCGATAAAGGCTGTTTGATTGATGTACATTAGGATTAAATCAAATCGAGATAATATTTTCAGTTATTTAACCTCAAACATAATTTTTCTGATTAAATTACTAATAAACCTTTTTCAAATCATATACAAACAGAACTCCAAAATTCAGTAGTAATAGATCTAATATGTATATTAGAATGTTTTGGCCATTAAATTATTTCAGATTCCTTGAATATTTATCTCACTGAATTTCAATACGTATGTATCTAAAATAAAACCTCTCACTATTCAGTTGGTGAATAGGAACATTAATTACAAACCTTTATTTGAAACCTTATCTGAGCAAAAATATTGCAAGAAAAATCATAACATGCAAGCAGTATTTTTTAGTTGTTTCTGTTTTATAAAGCACTTTCAGAATAATTTTATATATATAAATTAATTGCATTTCCTAAAACATTTAATAATTCATATTAATAAAACGAATTAGTTATTTTATTCATTTTTACAAAAAGAGAAATTTGAAATATGAACAGACATAAAACTCCGTTTTAAAACTGCCTAGCTGCATATATGATTTCTTTTTTTCTTCTATCCATTTGTTCTTTTATTTATTTGTTTTGTTGCATAGATTGCAGTATTGATTAATTTAGGTGTATTTTAATTAGTTAAAGAGTCTAATATTTGATCGAGCACGATTTTCAATACTTCTATATTTAAGAGCTTATCACTTTCATTATGACACCTCTTTCTATTCAGATCCATCACAAATAATTTCCATTTCATATCAGGGCCGGATTAAGGGTGTCGTAGGCCCTAGGCACTCCAGCAGCGTAGGCCCCGAAATAATAAACATTTTTTAACTGAAATTGACCGCTAATATTAAGTAATAATTTTGTTGTAGATATAAATCCGAAAATGTGATGATGCGGCAAAATAACATTATTTTATTTTGGGATTTTAATGTTTTTATTTTTCATAGAGCCATTTTCAATAGCCATAATTCCAGAATTGAGTTTATCTGCAACAATGCAACTTTTATATCTACCAAATTCCATGCAGAATTCCAGGGTTTTAGTACATGAACATGACAAGACATTAGCCGCCGGGAAAACCTCTCGGACGGGCACATGCGTTTGACACAGTTGGCCACGTTTCCATGCCACTACCAAACGCTTGCGCGCGATCGAGAGGTTTTCCCTGCTGCTAAGGTCTTTTATTTTAGTAGCTCAGTTGTGTAATAAGTTAATATGTAAACACTGCGATAGAGCGTGTATGCCTGTGCTTGTATTTAATCACGCTCAACCCCAAGTCAATCTTTAGTTTAAAAACTGGAAGTTAAATTTATTATAAGTAAGGTAAGTAAAGGAAAGTTGTTTTTTATACTCTACTTATTTCAACCTAGTTTTTGATTCTGGAATATTGCTTCATTCCATTATAAATAATAGAATTTTCATTTTATCACTTCTTATTAGTATAATAGTCCGCCGTAGAATGCAGCACAATGCAAGGAACTTTGAGTAGGCCTACTATGGGGTGGTTTGGCCATACTATTGTAAAAAATCTCCAGTAGTAGTCGTAGAAATAGTACAGTCCAAATCACCTTTGGAATAGCTTAATTTTAATCCATACTCGTAAATCCGGGTTTCGTTTTTACAAGTTTAAAATGCATTACTTAACAAATTTAAAATAACTTTTTAGCTTTCTGATAGCATAATAAAAGCGACGGGCGCAAACTAAAATGTATATTTAAAGGTGACGAGAAGAAGGAGAAAACAAGTTTAAATTTTAGTTTGTGCGTGCCCATCGCTTTTATTATGGTATATCAGAAAGTTAAAAAATTATTTTAAACTTTTAAGCGCAATTTATAAAAGCTTTTTTTTAAATATTTTTTTTTTTAGCGAAAAATGTCTGATGGATATAAAAGAAAACACCAAAGTGGACATGAAAAACGCAAAAAGAAAGAGAAGTGAGTGAGTCGCTTAGTAAAATTAAAGGTTCTTTATTGAAATATGTTAACATTTCTAAGGAGACAGAAGATAATGCAGATGCGGTAGATATTTCCTCGATCGAGGTTAGTCCTAAAGAAGCTGAGGCTTGTTGGGACTCGCAAGAATGTTCAACCAATAAAACTGAGAATGTCACAGAAGACGAGGCTGACGGGGGTTTTACAAATTTTAACGACGCTTCCAAGCAGGTGGTGCCTGAATCACTACCAACAACATCAGCCTCAAGTATTTTCAGTTCTGATCCAGCACGGTGGACAACCATAAGCGCAGATCTTATCGATTACTTCTCTCGTAATCACCCTGTGCAGAAATTGGATATAAATTTTAAGTTATACGCCACTAAATTTGGCGAAATAATGAGATGTCCATCACAAGATTATTTTTTCAGAAAACTGAACAACAATGATATTATAAAAAGGGACTGGTTGATATTTTCCGAATCTACTGGCAAGTTTTTTTTGTATAAATGTATTTTGTTCAAATCGGACCTACCTGGAAATCCAAACCAGTGTAACCAATTCCTTACAGGCTTTAATGTCTGGAAAAACGCACATTCGAGAATTTCAAAGTCATGAAGTGGTCAAAAGAACATTTTTGCATCTATTTCTGCTTTAGTGAACTACCAACAAACTAGAAAAATTGATGAGGCGTTTGATATTGTCAAGGAAAAAGAAAGCACACATATTGGACAACGGTTTTAAGAAAGTAGTGGAAGTAATTAAGTTTTTGGCCGAAAGGGGACTAGCGTTTAGAGGCGATAATGAAATACATGGTGATCCTAGTAATGGCAATTTTCTTAGGTGTATCGATCTCTTAGCCAAATTTGATTCGTTTCTAGAAGAACATGTAAGAAGATACGGTAATCCAGGCCGCGGAAAAGTATCATATTTATCCTCCACAACGTATGAAGAACTAATAATTTTACTGGGGTCAAAAGTATTGGAAAAAATAGTTACAGAAATCAAAGAAGCCAAGTATTATGGAGTCACTGTGGATTCTACACCTGACGTTAGCCATACGGATCAACTCTCCATAGTTATTAGATATGTCTCAAAAACTGGAGATATATATGAAAGATTTTTGATGTTTGTTAAAATAGAAAAACATGATGCCAAGTATCTTTTTGACACTCTAATTTCAGTTTTAGAAAATCAGGGAATAGACCCAAAATTTTGCAGATGTCAGTCTTATGACAATGCGGCTAATATGAGCGGAGTGTATTCGGGAGTACAAACTAGATTTAGGGAAATCAACAGCGCAGCCACTTGGGTACCATGTGGAGCTCATAGTCTTAATCTAGTTGGCACAGGCGGCGGCAGAAAGCTGCTTAGAAGCTGTAAAATTTTTTGAAATTTTGCAATCGCTCACAATTTCTCTTTGCAGCGTCCCCTCAAAGATGGTCTAAACTAAGGTCTTTGGGAAGTAAAATTTCTGTAAAAAGACTTTCAGAGACCAGATGGTCAGCACGTTATGAGGCTGTAAAAACATTATGTGCCCATTATGATGATATACGTGGTATTCTTACAAATATTTCAACTAGTGAAGGTATGAAACCTACAACAGTGATTGAGGCACAAACCTTAATCCATCAAATGAATACTTTGGAGATGGTATTACTCACAGTTATTTGGGAAGATCTACTAAAACACGTCGATATTGTAAATAAATCTCTTCAAGTAAATAAATCTCTTCAGTTCTTGAAATCGAGTTTAACACGATGGTGCGACTTTACGACAGTTTAATTCGATATTTATCTCACTGCAGAACTGAGGACATGTATAATAGCTATTATCTTAAGGCAAAAGCCCTTGCACCAGATTCAGAATTTAAAGAATCCGAAACTAGAGTTCGTAAGAGAAAACGACAGTTCGATGAAGGGCCAGATGAGACTCCCTCTCGCAGTGCCAAAGATTCCTTTAAGATTAATGTTTTTTTATTGTTCTGGATGTGCTTTGCGCTGAAATGACAAAGAGACGCACTGCGTATACCAGCCTTTATGACACATTTAGTTTTCTTACGGATAATACACTGACCGAGGACATTATCAAGGTTAAGGCTCAAGCTCTGGTAAAATGTATCCGTCTGACTTAGAAGAAAACTTTGTTGATGAGTATTTGATTTTTTCAAATTTGTACCCCAAAACCACCTCTATAACGGATTTCATCAAATTACAAATAAAGGATAAACTTGTGTCAAGTTTCCCAAATGTTAATATTGCATTGCGCATATACCTTTCGATATTGGGTTCGAATGCAGAAGGAGAAAGATCATTCTCCAAGTTGAAGCTTATAAAAAATTTTTGCGTTCAACTATGGGTCAAGAGAGAACTTCGTCACTGGGCCTTCTGTGTATTGAAAGTGATGTCGCTCGCGGCATTAATTTTGAAGATATAATACACGAATTCGCTGTGTCAAAATCCCGAAAAAAGGAGTTATTTTAGGATCTACTTAGTAAACCAAGCGTTTTGTATTCGTTTTTTGTGTATTTGTATTTACATATATTATTTTGACCTTCACTATATAATAATATAAAAATGTTTATAAGTTTTTGGGGTATTTTTATTTCAATATATTTTTTTCAAAGCCCTAAGACCTTTGGCCTTCGTAGGCCCTAGGCACGTGCCTACTGTGCCTAATTGGTAATCTGGCCCTGTTTCATATGACACATGACAAAATTGACTGATAATATATACAAGATATTGTTTGAGTGAAAAATATCCAGAAAGTTTATGAATGAAAAAAGAGTTTCTTTTTTCGAACTAAGTAATTCAAAATTAATTATTATAAACAGAGAGTTTCCTAATAGTTGCAGTCACATCTAATTACGTTTCTTTTCTTTTACACTGATTTTTATTAAGAAGTAGAAGAACATAAACACTGAAATGGGTGTGTCATTTAAAAAGCTGCCAAATATTTTTAAAAGCATTTTTATACTATTTAGTTTTATACTGCTTTATACTGTTCAGACAGTTTCAAAATTTATTCTCTGTGTGGTAAACAGGTAACAGTGCATGAGGCACAAGACATTTCACAACAGAATCGCACAGATATTGCCCCAATACACTAACTAGCTAGAATATAAAAAACTTGAACTGACTATATACTATTTCTAAGTAATACTGGAGTTATGTATCGAAGTTGTTACATTTAAACATAAGAGAAAAATAACGTAAAATTACAAACAAAGTTATATACATACAAAGTTACATAAATAACACAAACTATTTAGTATATTCATTAAAATATTGGAGTAAGTAAAAATAGCCACTCGTGATGTTTAGCATAAACTGTCGCTGTCTGAATGTTAACAACGTCTTTTTTCTTTCCGTTATCGGCAAGGCCAATATCCATATGTGGCGATTTTTGTGATGAGGGTTTTGTAAAGGACCTTAGTGATGTGAGGATTCAATCCCCATTTAAATTATTGCATCCTGCGGAGGTTCTGTCCAATTTGGTGGGTGCGAATCTTTATATCCTGGAGATGTTCTATGAAGTTGAATTTTTGGTCGAGCAGTAACCCAAGATATTTTAATAATTTGACGTTTTTAATTTTACCTGTTTCTAATTATATTGAGAGTTGTTTTGTAATTTTCTGTGCCGGCTTATGAATAATCATTACATGCGACTTGGGGATGAAGATTTCTAATTTATGTCTCTTGCAGTGATGCTGGACTATATTATTTCTTGGCAATTTTGTTGAAGAACTTTTTGTGTTCGCCCACTGACCACGAAAACAACATCGTCTGCAAACGCTGTAATTTAGGCGAAGTTGGGCCATTAGGGATTTATAATATCGTTGAACGTGATGTTCCAAAGATCTGCGCTCAGGCAGGCTCCCTGGAGACATCGTCGTGCTTGTGCTCTAGCAGTTAAGGTGTTATTGTGCAATATGATACTACTGCAGTTTTGGAGGAAGTTTTCAATGATTTTGTAGATCTTGAGTGGGCAGCGAATGTTGAGGAGAGACTGGAGGATGGCGGGCCGCCATAATGAATCAAAATCATTTTTGAGATCACGACACAGGATCGCTGAATGCAGATTGCTTTTTTCATTGATATTAACTTGGATTAGGACTGCTTGTATGACATGAGTTGTGAATTTTTGTTCTCTGAATTCATACTGGCGGTCGCTGATATGTCCTTCATAGTGGAAGTGGTACTTTAACCTTGCAACAATACATCGTTCGAGAAATTTAACCAGAGCAGGAAGACTATTTATTGGGCGATAAGCATTTGGACTATCGGGTGATTTATTTTTCTTTAAGGAAAGGATGATTTGACTTATTTTAAGACATTTTGGCAAGGTGCTAAGTTCGAGGCATTTGTTGCAAAACTGTAGAATTATGTCGCGGTTGGTATGGTGGATACGTTTAACGATTTGATTGCAGATTCCATCAATCGAAACTTTCTTGTTATTAAGATTTTTGATAATGTGCGTTAGTTCAGCCTAGGTGAATGGAGAATCATTTTCTGAATCTGGATAATGCTTATTGTGGCGCATAAGGTCTTCCGTGTCTTCATCTTCGCTATCGTTTAGGAGGACTTCGTCTAGGATTGAATTCAGGGTGGTATGGGTGGCATCAGTGCTGCTGTTGTTGTTGGAGTTACTGTTGCGGAGATGAAGCTGAGTGGTTCTGAAATTTTATTCGTTGCCATCTTGTAAAGAGAGTCATAAATATCTTTGTTGTTACATTATGTATGCCAGGCTTTAAGTTTTGCTTCTATGATTTGGCTTTTAACTAGCCTTTTGCTTTCTGAATTTTTCGAGGATGTTCTTCCTTTCTTCCTCCGATTCTGTGGATTTAAGTTTTCTGCGTAAGGCTCTTGCTTTGTGTTTTCCTTTACGTAGATCTTTTGTCCACCAGTTTATATTGCTCAGTATTGTTGGTGTTCTCTTCTTAAATGTTTGGTCGCAGATGATTTGTATTCTTTCTGTTATTTCTTCTATAGGTTTGTTGATTTCTTCTATGGTGCTGCAGTGCTTGATTGTGTCATGGCTTCTGCGTATTGCTTCAGGTGTTGTACAAATATTTTCTTTCTTCCATTGTTTATTTTGAATCCGGCGATTATTGTGCTTGTTGTCGGTTCGTTGATTTCAAAGTTCGTTGTTGTTTCTCTGTCTAGTAAGGATATTAAGGTATATTTTTAGTAAGGACTGGAAAATCGGTAGTTTAACACATTTTGTCAATCGATTGTCAAAGTCCCTTTAACAGTGTTTTCATTAGAAATTGTAATGGGCTTCCAGTAAAGTACTACTTTTCATTGTTCAAGTTTACCCAAAATTGAATCAACTGTTTATATGAATTAAGGAAGTTGAAATACGGGAAACATAAGATTTTGGAAGTTTGATATAAGAGTTAACGGGAAGGAAAAAATCATTACACAAACAGATAGACATCATTTTAAAAATAGTACTAACCTGATGTGGATACCCTATTATTCACTGAAAACTCACTACCAAATTTACTGACCAAAACTATTAATTCCCTTACCTATGCACATATGTTCGCGGGAGGTAATAAAAAACAGAGATGAGGTTCGACTCATTTATAGCAAGATATGTATGGGAATAAGCTTCCGAGGACATTCCGAGCTCGATAATATACACAGGCTTAAATGAATACTTTTACTTCAGCATACATTTTTAATGTGTAACATCTTATGCATCAGAAATTAAATCAAAAACCATATTATTAGAAATAACTAAAACACTCGATAACATTACAGAGCGTTAAATTAATGATTTTACTCTAGCATAATGCCACTGTATAACTAATGGATGCGTTACCTATGTATCTGAGATTAAATCAAAAGCTTAAATCACCATTACAATAAAACAAATGACCTATGGAAAATTAAGTTAACGCTTTTATCTCAGAATAAATTACCAGTGTGCATATTTTATGCATCTGAAATTACATAAAAAGTGTTATTACTATGAAACAGGGAAACACTTAATAACATTATAGCCTTTACAGAGCATTTAATCAATATTTTTACAACAGCATAAATCACTTATACATCAGAGATTAAATCAAGTACCTAAAGCATCATCATTATACAACAGTAAAACACTCGATAATCTAAAGAGCCTTAAATTAATCATTTTACTCCAGCATACGTTACCTGTGTGTAACATTTTATGCATCTGAGATTAAATCAAAAGCCTAAAGCATCATTACGGTAAAACACTAAAACATTTAGTAACCAACAGAGCATTAAATTCATGCTTTTATTCCAGAATAAATTATTAGGGTGAGATGATGATTATTAGCTGAGTGGTTCTGAAATTTCTGAATCTGAGATGAGTAAGATATTAAAATATGTTACCCATCTCAGATTAAATAAAATCTAAAATGTCATTACTGTAAAACACTAACTATTACAATGGATGAAATTAAGGCTTTTACTCCCGATAAATTACTAATGCATAATTACCTATGCATCAGGGATTGATCAAATGTATAAATCATCATTACTGTGAAACTCTTGTCTTAAAACTGTTTTCGCTAAGACTTGGGGGGGCTCATGAGTCTCCTCTAGAGCTTCTTCAAGTCAAAATCATTATTCAAAACAACGTTCAAATGTTGCAGACACAGAGAAATTAAAGCTGTTAAGTATCTAATTAAATACTATTTTGATTTCTATTGTTATTCGTATCTAAAACAGAATGAAGAAGATGCGTTTCCTGTGAAAAATTGTAATGAAATAATTAGAGATGAAACGAATCCTAAATCTTCTTTTAATCTGAATTAAACATTTCCTCAAATCTCTCGGATCTTTCTTGTAAGAATGAAAAGAAAATTAAAAAAAAAAAATTTAAGTTGCATTAAAAAGTTTTTATTTAAAGCAAAAATGTGAAACATTTTATTGATGAAAAACAAATTTATTTTAATAACTCTATTAAGAAATATTTTATGCATGAAATATAAAACTTAAAATCATAGATTCTTCAGGTTCATTTTCTCAGTGTAATTTGAAACAAATATTCCATTAAGAAGTAAAATATGTTCTATTTTTAAGAATACCTATAAACTAAAGCAAGTACAGAATATGGAAGAAGGTAATTTGAAGAATTAATTAAGATAAACATTTACTTGCTACTCTAAATTATGTCCTCAAAACCAAAAATTGCTATGACGTTATATTGGTGATCCAGGTCTATTGAAATTACAATATTTATACTTTTTACTTCCTGCCAACTATATGCATAAGGAAGGGAGGTAATGTTTTTGCTTCAAAATTTGAATAGTGAGTTTTCTATGAGTAAGTACGAATTGGGGTCCCCACAACATGTGTTGACTACAAATCAATCATGTCTGTATATCTCTGTACCTATTTGTTTGTGTGGTCAATGATAACTCACAAAACTTCCAACAGTTACTGTTTTGTGTACTTAAGCTTTCTGCATTCATATAAAGAGTTGATTAGATTTTGAGTAAAACTGGATAATCGGAAGTGGTACTTTACAGGAAGCCCATAACAGTTTTTAATGAACCACCGGAAATGGTATTTTGGGTTGCAATCTTGCAACTCAATATACCATTTCCGGTGCTAAAAATTAAAGTAAAATTCCGGTAGCTAAATATTAAAATTTTCGGAATGACATTTATTCAAATAATTTTAATATATTGATGTTTCCACTCACTTTTAACTTAAATTAAAAAGAAATTTATCAAAACTTACAGTGATGCATATAGAGAAAGTAATATTTCCGTGTAAATAATTATAATTTTCTTTGTTTCTTACTACATCTTTCGGTTATAACACCTCTAGACGCTTCGATTTTCATAAATTTCGTATTCTACACAAACTGTAAATGCTCATGATCTTTCCATTTTGATAAACGCAAAATGAGAAGAGGTAATTAACTTTATTTTAGAAGATTTAGAATCAAAATATTCAACCAAATTTGATCTAAAAATAAAAGACAAACTAAAAGTCAAGCTATCTGATAAAGGTGGCGACGAATTATCTAATAATAATGAGATAGGCAAAGAATATATAAAACCAAATCCAATTTCTATTGATTTGACAATCGATGAATTTAAGATAAATCAAAAACTTACAATCGATAACTTTAAAGTCTCAGACAATAGTAAGTGATCTGAATTTATCAAAGCTATTATTAACAAAGATGATAAATTTATTGATGTTAATCTAGCTGATTGACTAAATAAAAACCATACCTGAAAAGACTTAAAAGATCGCATCAAACACCTACTAAAAGAAAGATACGAAAATGAATATCAATTAGATAAATGGGCTGATAATTTAGACATCAAGCTATTTGATGAAAAAGATCATGAAGTAGATTATGAAAAACTAATAACTGCTACCAAAGATTATCTAACCAAAACTAAGATATTTGCTAAAGTCATCCATAAAGAGTTAGACAAAGTTGGTAAAGATGTCACTATCGATGATTTCCAACTTAAAGAAGAAGCAAGATGGAATGAATTTGTTAAGTCTATCAAAGATGAAGATGGTAAGTTATCGATTGATAACATTAGCAATCATTTTGATATAAACGCAAAATGAGAAGAGGTAATTAACTTTATTTTAGAAGATTTAGAATCAAAATATTCAACCAAATTTGATCTAAAAATAAAAGACAAACTAAAAATCAAACTATCTGATAAAGGTGGCGACGAATTATCTAATAATAATGAGATAGGCAAAGAATATATCAAACCAAATCCAATTTCTATTGATTTGACAATCGATGAATTTAAGATAAATAAAAAACTTACAATCGATAACTTTAAAGTCTCAGACAATAGTAAGTGATCTGAATTTATCAAAGCTATTATTAACAAAGATAATAAATTTATTGATGTTAATCTAGCTGATTGGCTAAATAAAAACCATACCTGAAAAGACTTAAAAGATCGCATCAAAAACCTACTAAAAGAAAGATACGAAAATGAATATCAATTAGATAAATGGGCTGATAATTTAGACATCAAGCTATTTGATGAAAAAGATCATGAAGTAGATTATGAAAAACTAATAACCGCTACCAAAGATTATCTAACCAAAACTAAGATATTTGCTAAAGTCATCCATAAAGAGTTAGACAAAGTTGGTAAAGATGTCACTATCGATGATTTCCAACTTAAAGAAGAAGCAAGATGAAAAGCCTTTATTAAAGACATCCCAGAAATCAAACCTCTTGAAAATATTGAACCAGAAACCACTTGAAAACAAGTATTAGAAAAACTTGAAAAGCAATTGAAAGACAAGTTAGACTACTATGGTTTAGAACCTTCTAACTTAAAATGGAAAATCGATGGTATTGATGATCTTAATACACCATTAAAAGATGATAAATTCCTAACAGGAGCCGAGCAAAAAATTACTCTAGGCTATGAAGGCATTGGCGAATCTGACTACACCAATATAACTATCAAAAAGCTTCAATACTCTCTAACCTCAAGATGAACTAACTTTATTAATGCTGTTGAAAGTGGTGAGCTTCTAAAATCACTTGCAAATTTAGACAAAATAAAAGACGGTGAAAATTGAGATAAAGTAATTGATTTCATCAGAGGCAAACTAACTCAACTATGAAAAAACAATGGTTTAGAAAATATAGATGATAACCTAATCATCACTCTTTCTGATAAAGATGGTCAACTAAGCGGAGAAATACCTGCCTCTTACTCTAATAACAAACAAAAAATTAAGATTAAACTAAGTTATAAAGATAAATCATTAGAAAAAGAATTCAAAGATATCGATATCCAACTTGCTAAATCATTTTCTACCAGATGAGATAACTTTGTTTATGATGTTAAAACTAAAGAGTTATTAGAATCTATTGATTGAAATAAAATAACTAAATATAACCTTTATAAAGACCTAATTCCGTTATTTAGAGAAAAATTAAAAAACTTATTTGAAAATACCTATAATTTAGGTGACATTTCTAAATTATCAACAAATTTATTTACTCTTCAAATAACTCCATTAGTTGAAACCGAAATTGGCCAAGTTTGAAATAAAGAGATAATTGTTAGGTTAACAATGATTTCTGATTCAAATAAGTTATTAATGAAAGATATTAAAACTAAAATAAAAATTAAATTAGATTTAAACGAATTAACTAATCTGTTTAAAAGACTAGTTAATGAAAAGCAACCAGACAATGTAGAAGAATTCAAGCGATTTCTTCAAGAACTGTTTGATTATCATTATCCACTTTATAAAGTCGATGTTGAAAACGACCTTCTTGTTAGTATAACTCCTCCTATATTCAAAAAAGAATCGGTAGGAAAATTTCATATACAACCTAAAAATAATGCAAAATTCAAAAACAGCTCAATTAATAATACAATTCCTTACTATGACAAATATAGAATTAGCTTTGTTCTATTCGAACATGCTTTATTTAAAATATTGAATGATAATCCTATTGAAAATAGGCAAGAATTGGATAATATCATAAAAAAACTCCTAGATGAATATGGTTTTAATAAATATAAGAATCAAAAGATAATAGATTTTACTGATTTATACATTGGATTTAAACTAAATGATGGTAAAACATCCATACAAATATACATTGCTCTAAAACAAGCACAAAAATGACAAGCACTTTTACATAGTGATTTGTTGATTAATGTACCATATAAGTTTCATAAAATGTTTCAAGATTTTAAAGATGAATTTAAACAAGCTAAAAATTTAGCTTCTTTAAGAGAACATTTAGAAAAACATGATTCCTATACTACCTGGCAAGAGTTAGATGAAATAGCTAGAAAATGAGTAAAAGATAAGTATGGTTCTAAATACAAAGGAATTTTTGATGTTGCTAATTTAGATATTCATTTTTTCGGTTTAAAACATAAATTAGAAGGGGAAATTAGTGATATTTATTATAAAACAAAAGAATTTAGTGGTCAAATTTTTATAAGATTACAAAATACAAACTTTTTATATTCTCATTATGAAAAATTCAACTTCAAACTAAATTTAACTTCTTTAAATATAGAAGATCCTAAATATAATCTTAATACATTTGTTGATAACCTATTAGAAAAAGATGCTAATAATGATAAAAATACTTTTATTGACCTTTTTATTAAAAAATTAAATTCAATCAAAGGTTTTGAAAACAAATTTAAAAAAGAAGATTTTAACTTTGATTTTGAACCCGCAACCAAAAAAGATAACAAAATTAAAATAAAAATAACTCCTAAAAATAAAAACAAAATTGAAGGTGAGATTCAAAGAGATAGTTATTATGAAAAATATATGATTGATCTTGAAGATCAAAACATCAAACAAGATATCCAAAACTTAATTAAAGAAAACCAACCCGATAATCAAGAAGTTTTAGAAAAACTTTTACAAGCTTATTTTGATTCTAAATATAAGGATTATGGTATTGATGTAAAAGAGCATCTATTTATAAATTTTGATAAACCAATATTTAATAACTTAAAAGATGGTGATTTAAATATATCAGCTGATCAAAGTGTTAGAAAATTTAAAAATAAACTAATTATTACAATCCCTTATTATGATAAATATAAATTAGATTTTTCTGAATTTGAAAATAAATTAAAGGATAAACTGATAAGTAATACTCCTAATAATGAAAATGAATTAAAACAAATAGTAAAAGAGTTTCTAAATACATATAGTCTTAATAAATATAACAACCAAAATATAATTAATATTGATGATTTGATTATTAACTATAATTTAAAAAAACCTATAACTAAAGAATCGATAATAAAAATAACCATTTCTTTAAATCAAGACAAAAAACTAAAAAGTAAAAATAAAACTTCATTTGGCATTAATTTAACTCCTAAGGTTGTTTTTGAACACAGAGATTTTGTTGAAGATTTAAATAAGACTAATAATCTAAATTCTTTAAAACAATTTTTAGAAAAAGAGACTTTTAGTTATTGAGAAGAAGTAGAAAAAAAAGTTATAACTTGATTAAAAGATAATTATGGTTCTAAATATAAACTACTTTTTGATAAAGAGAAAATAGAAATTGATTTTTGAGATGGACATAAACTTACTGACAAAATTAGAACCGATAGAAAAGAGTTTGATGGCAAAATAAAAATTAGGTTTAACAATAATGAGTTTAATTTTGAAGATGAATTTAACTTCAAATTTAATGTAATCAATCCTCAATCCCTATTAGAAGATTATGCAAAAGAGATTAATAATAAAACACTTAACAATATGGTATTCAAGTTCAATTATTATTTTAATTCTTATGATTTTATTAGTGATTTAGAAGATCAAATTAAAGAATTTCTTAAAAATAAGAAACTTAATGGAGAAGTAGTTAAATCTAATATCTTAAACAAAGATACATTAAAGTTTAAGACTGGAAATAATAGTATTTTTATTAAGCTAACTTACTTAGGTGTTACAAAAGATATAACTTTAAAATACAATGGTCAAAAATTAGATTTAAGTAAATATCCAATTAATGATGTAATTACCATTTCAAGACTATCACCACTCAATGAATACGCCTTTGATAATGTAGAACTAAAAAAATCTGACTTCATTTATAAATTTGTTGAAACATTAAAAGAAAAATATTCTGATTTTAATGGTATTAATATTGATAAATATATAAAACTTTTTACTTTTGAATACAACGGACCCTTATTCGCAGCCAACCCTACAGAAAATTATACTTTTTATTTAACTTCTACCTTAAAAGACTTTGTTACAGGAAGAGTTAGAGTACGTTTTAGTGCTGAAAAAGTCCCTTTTATAATAGAAAAATTGTTAGAAGCTTTTTTAAAAGAAAAAACCAAATTAGATGAAAATTTTAGGGATATGATGTTTTATTATTCTTATAGAACTTATTTTGATGGGGGTGGAATGAAAACTTTTGAACAAATAAAAGAGCACTTTCGTCAAGAAATCGAAGAAAAATTAAAAAACAAAATTTTACAAGATGGATGATTCTCAACAATTATGTATAGAAATGATATAAAAGACTATGATAATTTTTCAGTTACTAATCTTAGTTTTGGTGAAGATTATTCTTTTCAAGATACAAATTTAAAATTCAAAATAGGTATTAAGTATAATGGTGGACGGTCAACTAATGATAGCTTTGTTTCAATAGAACAAGAAATTACTAACCCATTTAATATGAAAATGGAAAATTATGGAATTTCTTACGATGATGGTCTAGATTTTCTTGATATTTTAAAAAATGAACGAAAAGACTACAATTACACCATAAAGGCTGATAAAAGTAATGATAATGTGGGACATACTGAAACCGGTTTTATTAACACTGCTGCAGATGATTTTACTGACATTAAAGGTTTTATAAAGAACTTAATAACGGTAGTGGGTATAAAATGAAAAAAATATGTACCCAAATTAGATGAAGAAATTTCTAGTGATGATAATGGTTATTTTTTTTATTTTTTAGACGAATACGGAAATAAAAAGAGTGTTGTTTTACGAGTTTTTGTAGATTATTATAATAATGATGGTAATTATCAAAAAGATATCAACTACTCATTTTCATCAGGGAATATAGGATTTCAATTATTACATATGGAAAATACTATATATGGCGCATCTAAAGTTTATGGTTGAAGAAAACACAATAGAAAATATAAACTAATAAATAGGACAGAATATGAATGATATTCTAAATTTAGGTCTACGTTAGATAATAAAAATGGTCTTGAATCTAGTTGATGATTTGATCCAAATAATAATGTAAGACATGCCGGTCAATATATATTAGACAAGAATATTTCTTGATCATCTCCTAAGTTATGAGAAACATATGGGGGTAAATGAAAACATGATGGCAATGATCACTTTCTTTATGAATTTGGTCTTGAAAATAAAGACGGTATTAGTAATGGGCGTAAATATGTATTAAAACTAGGCGGTACTGGTGATATTGCAAAAATGTATAAAACTAATACAGGCTACTTTCTAAATTATCAAATGAAATATGCATTTACTATTTTAGGCGGAAAAGTAAGATTGAATTTTAATCTATATAGAAGCGATGACTATGATAGAACTAATGATAAACTCTTACTTCCAATTGGCAAAGGTAAAAGATATCACTTAGCTAGATAACAATCTAACATTAACCTTATATTTAAATTATCTAT